ATACAAAAGCAGAAATCCTATCATATTTTTCTTTTTTTAGTTTTTACCTAATATTGCTGCTTCTTTCATCTTGTAAGTTAAATGTTGAGGTGTATTAGCATGCTGAAAATGTACAGAGTAAGACCTCTTATTGAGAAACTTTCTGTCCTTCATGCTTATTTATCTAAGAATCATACTACCTTTTGAATTGAAAGGTAATTGTAAGTTTACAGAGCATCTGAATTACTGAATTGTGTGACTGGTTGGTAGTGATGTAGCTAAATGGCTTTGAGATTTGATATAGTTCGTATTTGGTTTTTATGTTATCTCGTGATATAATCAACGGTGAGTGTTTAAACACTAAAAAAAATGAAGTCTCCTCTTTGATGTAATCTGCAGTAGACAGGGGTGTAGCTTTGTCCAGGACTGTATCAACATTACAGATGTAGCCTTCCCCACTTCTTGGGGAGAAAATAAAACTCAGAGTTAAGGAAGTTTGTATCTCACCAGTCAAACAGCTCCAGATATATCTGCTTTTTTTGGTATTTATTCATCCCTAGAAACAATTTACCTTTAAAAGGTGTCAGTTGAAGCAATATCACAGGCAAGTTGCAGAACCAAAACTTTCAAAACAGTTCAACTTCAGGAGAAACATTGAACCATTTTATGTTTATTCTTCAGAAGGGTGGGGGAGGCAAGCCATTTGAAGGGAAGAAAGTATATTGTTCAGCTGATTGAAAGTTGCATTATGAATAAAGTGCAAATGTGACTTTAAGTTCAGATGTATAGTTGTCATGGTCGTGGTGGGAAAGCTTTACATCCCTCAAGAATTTAGTATTTTCTGAAATGTTTGGTGTTTTATACTGAATTGGAGAAGGTGTTTTCTGAAAAAAAACCAATGCATTGATAGGTACGTTACAGGTTTGCATAGAAGAGGCAGTTTCTAATTGTTGAATTGTCTCAAGCTGTAGCAAGTAATCCATGCCTTTGAAGATATTGAAGATAATTAATGCTCTAATAATTATGAGTTTGGACTCTTCACTAGATAATATGGCAGCAGCTAGAGATGTACTTATTGTCACAAACTGTTTAACATGTACTTAATTCTAGACAGAGCCAAAGGGATTTCATCGAATCTTATTATGGTGCTAACCTTGTGCCACTGCATTCTGCTCCTAGCACATGGCAAAGAACAGTGATGCTGGGGGAAGATTATATTTGTCTTTCCCTCCTTCACAGTAAATCCAGCTCCAACAGAGCTATTGAACAAGGAGAGATCCCTTTGCCCAAGGGATTAGGGAGAGTCTAAAGTGCATGCACTTTTGTAAGTCCCATCCATTTGGAGACGGAACAGGGAGCGTTGCTGTATCCCTCTTTCTGTTGTCACGTCTACAACATTATGGGGAAAATGTAAAAATAGAAGATATTTTTCCTAACATGAAAAGTCACTGCATACAGTTAAGGACTAGAATAATTTTCTGTAATATGTATTTTCATGTGTATATGTAAGATGTTGCCCTGTTAATAATAATTGCTTAAGTAATGTTTGTGTCTCTGAACAGTTAAATAAGATGGGCATTCTTGTGATAACGTTCCTTTGCAGCTCTATACTGAGTTGTTAATAGGATGATTACAGGAAGTTGGCACTTGTTAGAGGAAGAGGATAATTTCTCATACAATAAATATGTTTGTCAATTAAGTAATATTGATAGCGATTGAAGTATTGATAGCAAATGGATGATTACTTGTGATTATTGGACAACAGTTTAGAGTTTATCTGCTTGAAATAGAAGAGAGCGATTGAGTAAGTGGACTGTGTAAATAAATACATAAAATGTTAAGGAATAAAGCATAGATATTTTTGAGCATTGGGAAAGATAGAATTCAAGTTGAACTTACAGTTAAGACGTTTATTTTGAGTTTTTCAAGGGCATTATATTAGTAAGTACTGTGGATGTAGAAATAGGAACATTGTTTACATTGTTCCTATAGCAAGGCATTTTCAATGCTGCTGTTTTGTGTAGAAAGCACAAACTCTTTTTTTTTTTTTTTTTTTTTTTTAACACTTCTAACAATTCTGTGGAATAGCATTGTGGACCATGTGAGTTAATTGGATTTTATTATTCACATCAAAGTCTTAGCATTTTATTGTCACCAAAAAGAAAATAAAAACATGGAATATACATCTTCTTGAAGATGGCAGTCAAGGCTTTTTATGGAATTTAAGAAAGCTTTTTCAATCTCAGAAATTATAAAAATGAAAAAGTTATGTTGAGACTTCAAATTCTGATACAATGTCCAATGCATTTAGTACTTAACCTAATCCTCAAGCTTGTTGAAGGAGTTCGGTGAGTGTTCGAAACCTCTGGGTAGTGTTAATTACAAAGAGTCAATATTAAATGGTAAAGAAAGGATATTGCCATAGACTAAGTATCTCGCCTGTGTTTTGTTTTCCTCACTTGGAATGAAAGCACTGAACCAGTTTCTCAGAGACAGTCTTTGAAAGCATTTAATATCTTTATTTTAATACACATGTCCAGTCTCTCTGTTAAGAGGAAATTTTATATTATATTTAGTTTTAAATACTAAGTTTAAAGGCTAATTTTATTCCCATCTAAGTAGAATGATTTGTGGGAAGTAATTGGTCATGACAAACTATCCATTTTTCACTTGAATAGTACCTAATAAATGAGACCAAGGCTTACAAAAAAACAACTTAGGAAAAGATTTAAATAACATACTTCATTCTGCATCACAGAAATATAAATAGTTGTTTAAAAATTAATTCCTGTCATATATTGGATGCTACATATATTTTCAGCATGGCTATATAATATGAGTGGTTTTGTATTAGCAGTGAAGTATGTCATGCTGGCTATGCTACTCTTAAGCAGTTCTATGTTTTTTATTTGTAAATGCTTTTCTTTTTAATCAGCTTGTGTTCTCCTTTGTATGTGTGTATTCACGTTTAATAAAACCAGGCTTTAAAGTATTCTTGACTGTTAAGCTCTAAAGTAATTGAGTATTTTTTCTTACCATTTTCCAGTAGTATGACTCAGTTATTTGCTTCCTTATAAGTTAGAAAACAGAATACCTGGATTTACCCTGCTATCCTTGAAAAACTGTAATATTCTTTGCCTACAGTATGCAATTACAGGTGTTAAATATGTCAAACAAATTTTAAGATATGCAAAAGGAATATTTTGTAATACACTATATTGTATTGGGGCTTGATTCATAAACTACTGTCTGTGTACAAACTAGATTGACATAGTTGCTAAATACTTTGGGGTGAACAAAACCACTCAGCATATCACTTTAAATAGAGATGCTAATACATCTGTTCAGTGCAAGAAGAAAAGAGTTGTTTCTGAAGTAAAATTAGACAATAGAGCCAATTTCATTTTTTATGCATGTGAATGTAGAGTGCTTGAGGTTATTAGTTGAAACTGAGTAACCTTTCCAGGCTTTCATCTCTTTCTTTTCAAATTTGAATATGAAAAGCATATTCAAGTCAAAGACCATCACTTTAATGATATTTGGCAGTCATTTGATTTATTAGATTTTAGAAAAAAATTCCTTTAAATATTTCATCATTCTATGCTAATCCCAGTAATATTGCCAGCTGAAGCCGTGTACCTGTATTAGTGGAGACAGAATGGTGTAGAATTTTCTGTCATCCTAGTAAAATTTCCATGAATCTACTGAATAATAAAACAACCTTATTGAAATATTCAGATTTGGGGTTTTAGTTAAAATGTCTTAGGATACATAATAAAAGGAAATGTCTTTTGAAAGGAGGGGGTAAAATTACTTCATCAAATATTGAAAGGGCTTGACAGCAATGGAAATTGTTCTATATGATGGATATTTTTACTATAGGATACACCTGCTATTCGGTTTGATTAATTATATAATTTGCTGGGAAAAATATAAGCTATCTCCATAATAAATTAGAATATTGACTTGCAGTTATAACACTGAATCAAGAACGGTTATCGTATGTATTTTATTACTTCAAGTGATTTAAGTTTAAAATCAAAAATTGTCACAATATTTCCATATGGGGAAATATTTTTAATAAAGTTATGAGCTTGAAAAAAATGAAGTAAAAAAAATTATTTTGACATTTCTGAACTCCAGCATGTTCTGTTTGCTTTTTGAAGAATCTCATCTTCAAATGCTCACCGATGAACTCCAGTTTTGAAACCATCGTGGCTTTTCTTTCTTTGAATTACCAAGTTACCTGGGGAAATATTTGGAACCTTTTCTCTCAAGTCTGACATTCCTCCTCTAATACATAAAGCTTATTAAAATGTATCTGTACACAAATTATGTAGACTTTGCTGAGCAGTATAAAACTATTTTGTATAAGAAAAATGTCATTTTAGTTAGAGATAGAATAGGCTCTAGTGAAAAACAATTAGGATATTAACTTTTATTATTATATTGTTAATTTAAACTTTCAAATGTATATTTGATTTAACTGGAAAAGTTCAATATATGAAGCTGAATTCCATATAAATATAGTGTTACTTTACATGTCTAACTACTTTGTGACTTTATTGAACTATTTGTAGTGTAGTCTGCAGTAGGCACAGAGTATAACAATCCTCTTTCATTTGGAAAACTTTGGTACCAATATTACTGAGACTATGTCAAGCAGTTATAGGATCAAGATACAAATCACTTTGCTGTGTAGCTAAAAATAATGGCAACTGAAATTTGTGGTTCAGATGTCATTTGTACATGACTCTAATCTTAACCTAATCTTCTCCAGCAGAGTATGACTGTTGCAAAAATATTTTCAACACCGAATGTAAATTGGTATCTGTTGGAGCAATATTCTTAACTACAAACTTGGGGGCTTTCGAATCTTATTGTGTCTATGTCAAAATCAATTAATCAGTGTTAGTCATACAAAATAGCCAGTGATTTACATATATGTTTGTTTGTTTTGTGTTAACACTTCAAGAAAAACAAAATAATTTGTATTTCTTTTGTGCTTTGTTTTTAAATAGGCAATTGAAAAAATCATTATTGAAATTCTGTCGCTCAGTCTTACTGAGCCACGAATTACATCAGATGAAACAATAAAGCAGCTGTTTGTAGAATGCAAATTACACGATGTCATTGCAGAAAAGACCCCACTGTCGCTTCCAAAACCAAAAATTGATGAGAGGATTTACTATAACTTTGGCTGTGGTAAGTATGATGTAAATTCTGTCGTATGAAAATGTCTGCCAATAATGTCTGCTTCCTCTGGATATTGTAGTTGCATTTATCTGTATATGGATTGTATTTGTCTATTTCCCAAACATTTTGGGAAATATTAAGGGCTGTTTTTAAGCAGTGAAGTAAGGATACCTGATAATTGCATAAGATGAATTATTGAAGTAGGCTTGTGTATGAAACAGTAACATTACAATATATTTATGCTGCTAGCACATAAATTTTGAAATTAGGCTGTACATAACTAAAATTAATATATTCTTTTTTAAAGAACATGATGAACTTGTTTCTGTATCTATACATGACGATACAGCAAAAGAAAAATGTTCCATGTAACCGTGTACAGTTGAAAAAAGAAAATATGTAAATAGACTTGATTATCACTTGAGAATACTCGGTGTTCCTTTAATAAGAACTTCTTGAAACAGGAAATTATTCAGTCATATTTAATACTAATACATTGCTATTTACTTCATAATACTTAATGCTCTATGTTCCATATGCTATTCTCTAATAAAGGAACTTCTGAAAATACTTGATGTCAATACACAATGTAATTTACACTAATAGCATACAGAGAACTATTGTAATAATTGATAATTCTCTTGTTAATTTTTTTCCCATCTATTTCATAGTATTTCAATTATTAACTTATCTCTTTTTTTTTTTCAGTTCAAGTCTATTTCATTTAAGATTCTGAGTGCTTTATGTTGTCTTGGACAAGTATTGCATTTTCAGCTGAGAGTATCCTGGAGCGGGTGAATCAGTTTACTATTTGTGACACACCACTAATATAGACATTCAAATTAATACCCCATGTTTGACGTCTGAAATGCCCCATAGATGTCACATTAACCATCATTATAGTGGGACTGTCCATTTGAGAGAGAGTATAGAGGACAGGGCACAATGCGTTAACTTCTGTGACTCAGAGAAAGACAGCAATCTTTGTAAGGCTTTAGCAGAAAGAAACCAAAACCACAAAAACTAATAGCACTGCAACCTCTCTTTCATTCCCTGAGGCTTATTTACATTCAATCAAATGTGATTTCTGCCGTCATATACTAAACAAGACATCAGATAATCAAGAAATTTTTTTATGAGCTGAACAATATTATCTTGCTAGTTGCTGTAAACACTTTTCCAAATGTTCTAGATAGGCAGACATAATTGAATTTTTTTTAAAAAACCTCATTGAAATAACACTTTAAGCCAATAAAAGCTATTTAACACTTTTAATTTCTTTTGCTTCTTGAATACTAATGGAATATGAGAAGCCTTCAGCAGGTATAAAAATTCTTACACAATATTATGATTCCTGCATATATTGAGTATGGTCTAACCATAATATTAGTTTTCTGATTATTGACTCTGCAAGGTTAAAGTAGCAAAACTTAGCAAAGTTATGGTGGATACAGAATGAAACTTAACTATGTTTCAGGCTGTGATATTTGAAAATAATATCATGTTTTGTAGAGACTAATTCATAAGGCTTCCCAGCCTGGTGCTGCTGTATCATATTATTTCTGCTAGTCAAAACCTGGCTTCATAACTTGAATTTTTCTATTTGCTACTTGAGTATTAAATATAGAACTGTTGAAACTTTAAAATGTCCTAGGGAATCAATATCAAAAGGTGTTTTTGGTCTTCGTTGCTTCACGATTGTATTCTGCAGCATAATACTACTGTGGTTGCTGTTTGCAGAGTTTTGCTTAGGTAATTGGTCATCTAATTTCTACTCAAGATTAGCTTTGCATGAAGGAGAAAAAAGCCTACTGAGTCTGCTGTTTGATAATGTCAGTTGGAAAGCCAGGAAGATAATAGTAATGAAATCTGCATGTGTGTTTACTATAGCTCTACCCCATCTCTTCTTCATGTCTAATTAGATTTGAGTATGTTGAATATTTGAGGTTAATTGAATATTTTCTTTAATAAAAAAAGACTTGCATGGATAGAAAAAATTTACTTTGAGCTTAGAAGGGAAGTAATAGTCTTCTAGATTTTCTCAGGGAGAAAATCAGGGTAAGTCCATAAGTAATCTAAAAAATCATAAATTCTTATAAATAAAACATTTTATATTATTTATAACTGGACCAGCTTGGCTGTTTTAAAAACACCTTAACTGATACAGAAGGCTCCATGAGATTAGTTGCTTAAAAAACAGTTCAAGCTTTTTCCATACCTTTTGCACATCCTTCGCTGTCATTGCTTAATATGTAAAATACCAGAAGATTAATGGAATCTTGTTGAAATACAATATAGCAGAACTCCATTCATCTGGACATACAAGATCCTATGAATGTCTCTTTTCACAATTGGTTAGAGCATGTAACTTGACATTAATTGTTTATTTTGACTATGACTTTTTGAATAGGGATGGTTAGAAGATTTATTTCCTTTCTCTCTAGGTCTTGGAACAGAAACTTGAATGGGAGGTTCATACACTCTAGAGTTATGCCGCATAACTGTTGGTTTCTCATGACATTGTTATATCTACTGGTGGCCATACTGACTGAGAGGAGCTGCTGTGTTTGTTAGTAGTGGAAAGAGTCACTAGAATATACAAGAATGCTTCCAAAAACAACAGTCCCATAAATTCAAAGAAAAGTGAAACTTTCCAAATTGCGCTCACAATATGACTTTGTCCTGTAATTTGATAAAAAATGAAGCATTCTGATTTTGTGTTGGAGCGTGGTTTGGTTTTGATGTTAGGGTGTATTACAGATCATAGTAAGCAATGAATCCATATTTTAACTTTTTAAAGCAGTTTATAATTGTGTGCCAGAAATTATTTATTTCCAGTCGTGTCACAAGATATGCTTTAAAGTGAGTGTAATGGCAGTTTCACTGTCAGAAGAACACAGGGAAACATGATGCTCCAAGGAAACAAAACCCAGTTCCCTCACATATAAATGCATCTATTGATATTTGAGTCTTAATTTCAGTAAAATAATCGTTTTTCTTGTCAATTCAATGACTTGAATTGTGAAGGTAAGTTTAGTTCATGGATGTTGTTAACAAAAAGTATTTGTATTTTATTAAATATGAAGACTTAACTATGAAAATGCTGAGATGGCAAGAAAGTTACTAGAAAGTAAGATTGATAGAAGTTCTGAAATGTGTCCTTCTCATTGTATACAGTGGTTCTAGAGAACAGGCAGCAGCAGAAGGATTTGCAAATTTTGTAAAGATTTTATATGAGATTTAATTGGAGAGCTTGCTTTCTTGACTGAACAGGTGGTTATTTGAACAACTTCAAGTGTTAAGTAGACACAAAGGAAGGGGGGGTGGAAGAAAGATGTTGGGGTTTATTTTTTATTAAAATTAACTTCTGAAGATCCATATTCTACCAGGTGTATTCCTCAGTAGAAGTCAAATGAAAATGTTAAGGCCTTACATCACAAAACATTGTTATACTTATTGGTGTTTATTCCTTTTCACCATTAAGTCTCAACACTGTTTGAGACACTTTTTCTTCATCATTGTGATGAAACTCTGCTTCATCACCTAGTCATTTAGTTTTGTTAGAAAGTGAACTATGAAAAAAAATATGCTACAATAGAAACAGCTATGTTAATATTCGGAGATGCAGTGATTTTTAATGAGGTTTCAGGGTCATTGTAATTTTCAGGTTTTAGTGCTTCTTTAGGACAAGGTTCAAAATTCTAATTTTAGATGCAAGCACAAGTTAATTTTGAATTATTTTTACAATAATTGTATGGAAATATTAGATCTTCCATGCCTTGGAGCAATGGTATAATTCTAAGTTCACACAGTACTAAGGGGTGATATGAAAGCATGTTTTTCGTCAGGATCTAAAAATACTTTTTCACTATGGTTGATCATTTTCCCCAGCCTTGAATGGAGTTCTTGTGCTGAATGTTTTACTTTCTAGCGTGAATTTTTCCATTGAGAAAATGGAAATGAATTCAAACTCTTTAGGTTTGTAAATAATTTCCATTTAAAATTGTTTTAGGTACAGAATTAGTAAACTTAGGAAATTCCATTTGGGATGCTTATGGGTAAGGAAAGAATCTGTTGATGTGGCAGCTCCTTTGAAGTTCTTTGGCTGTCCATCTGTCTCCCTGCTGCCTCCCCATCACTTCCTGTGGTGGCCCCAGGAGCACTTGCCCATGAGAGGAGCACATGTGGAAAGTCATCCACATGCCCAAAAGAATAGCAGATGGCAGAAACAGCTTCTTTTAACCTGTCTAAAACAGAATATTATGGGTGGAGACTAAGGACTCCAAGAAAGAGCACGAATGCTTTGCTTTCTGTCAGTAGAGAAAAAGGTGTTGAATTGCAGATGCCTTTGGTTGAATGATTCAGATACCTGTTGTAGTGGCTGTTTTCTGAGAGGAACTGATTTCTAATAGTGATTCTGCTGGCCAGGTAAGAGCTGAGGAGCAGCTTTGGAGAAAAATAGAGAACCAGTAGCTCCAGGAGGTGTGCTTCCCAGAAGGACTTTTGTAGAGAATATGTCTGTCAATAAATCCCTCTGCAAGGAATTAATTTGAGCCACCTTCTCTCTCTTTTGTACTCCTGTATTCCAATACTCTGTGCTCCTTGGTAGAATTGGTAATTTCTGTTTATACAAATAAGGTTATTTTGGATAGTAGAAGAGAGTACAAAATACATTAATGACTTCTGTCAGCACATAAGAAAAGGAAACCTTAATGTAACGTGAAGAGTGGAAAATAGCATTTTTGAGCACAGTGGCAGAGTAACTAAGAGAAAGTGAGGCACATGAATATTAAAGATGTTGGAATTTAGAGACAGACAAATTTCTAGCTCCTCATCCTACCCTCAAAAACCAAGGAAAAATGTTCCTTACAGCTATATTTGTTTCTCAGAGGGTGATATTAATTCTAGCTTTGTCCTCCAAAAATTTTTTAGCTGCCTTTATCACTTAAAAAAAGTAATTCCTTTAACACTGTTTTTAAATTTTCACATCCTGAATTTTTATAATCTTTCACAGTGGTTTACTGATACTTGTAGGCTGATGACCATTTGCAAGAAAGAAACTACTTTCTTAATATAAGATGCCCAAAAACTTCTTAAAGAATTTCCTAAAACCCTGTTTCTCATTCTTTTATTGTTTTTTCTAAACCAAGTCTATTTTTCACTGTAGGTCATATTAATGGTACAAAAATTAAAAGCTGGTCCTCGTGTTTGTATTTTAAATTAAAACAATAAAAGGCTTTCATAGCACTCACACACACTCCCCAGGCTGTGGATTTTCTCCAGTCCATTGGTCTAGATGTTTCTCTTATTGAAATATTGTGGCAGGAAAGGAGGATTAAATTACTGAGGCTGTCAAAAAGGACAAGTACTCTGCCATATATTATCATTATCACTAGCTTCCTCAGTGGAAGAAAATGCAGTAAATCACTTCAAATACAAAGCAATAAAGACCACTGGCTTTTAAAACCATGACTGCTATTGCCATTAATAGAAAATGACAGCTATGTGGCATGCTTAGATGTTGCGTGTATCTTTTTTGACAGTGTGCACATAAACCTGCCAGTGACACGCTATTAGATCACATGACCTTTCAAATTTGATTCTAACATTGTTGCTTTTCCTTAAGAAAGACAAGGGAAAGAAATATTTATTTTTCTTTGTTCTTCTCTTCATGCTCTTTCTTCTAAAATGTGAAAAACAATTGATGACTATATTAAATCTGATTTGTTTTGCAGTGATACATGTGGATAAGGCAAATAATAGTGCAAGAAGAGACTATCTCAAGTCTATGCTTCTAGAGCCAGATCTGCATATTGACAGGTACCCATTAGTGCTGAAAAAGTGTACAAAAGGTCTTTGAAAATAGTGCTTCTGGTTTGCCTTGTTTTTTGAATTTATGGAGGAGATATCCCTGAGAACTTAATACATAACTAACTAACTAAAGAAAACTTTGTTTCAGCTGGGAATGATGCATACATTCTGATGCGGCAATTGATCTACATTTCTTCCCTGAGTAGGTTCGTGTGATGTGGAACCTCTCTTCATGTTGTTTTGGTGCTGTGTTTTGGTTTTTGTAACAACCTTGTTTTGCAAAAGAGAGAATCTATCAGTGTTCTATCAATAATGAATTTGAAAAGCACATATCTACCTGATGGTAAGGTAATGCATCTTTCTGAATTCAGAGTACTAAAGGAGTGTTAAAGCTTCAGAAAGTGTTCCTGGACCCTAGAATTTCCAAAAACCTATATATATTTCTGCGTGTGTACATATATATATATATATGTACATATATATAGATAGATAGATGGAGCAGGTAGCTATTATATGTATACACATAAGAAAGAGTATAAATTAGTCTTGTCTAAGCTCATAATAATAAATCTGTTCTTATTCAAATTCTTTGATTGAGACAGCAAGCGCGTGACTTTGAGAGAATGAATTACGTCCTTTGATTCTGTTTCCTCTTGAAGGTCAATCTTCATTAAAATGAAACAATTATTAATTTAAAGATGCGTTTAATTTGCAGAAGATTGTATTTGAAGTGTGGGAGTTACTTGTAAATCTTTTAAATCAGTATTTATTCACAAATCACAGATTCACTTCACAGTAAGAAAGAGAGTGGTCTCTCTTCATTCCATTTCCCTTTGAAAGCTGAGTTCGGTGTCTTGGCCAGAAAATGGGTTTTACTGGAATGGAACAGGGAACACCATGAAATGATTACTTGTTGGGATGGAAATATCATGCCAAAACATTCTTAGGTTTGGAGAATTTAAGAAAAAAAAAATTCACTTAATAAGCAAGCATAAGACTTATTTTACCATATAGATTAGGGAAGTGGGTAGCATCTAGTAAGAATTTAACAATAATGAGGACAAATTATTCTTTTTCTCCTGAGGGGATAATTCAGCAAAGGAAAATATCTACTCTGGGCTGCAATTTCACCTATAAATACTTATATATCTATACTAAATATTTAACAAACCTAAGGTAAAAATAAGGTAAAATAACAGCAGCAAGCTTCTTCCCACAACAGAGGCATTCGCTTTTACGTGCGCCATCATGGTACTGTCCTCTGTGTCACTAGATAGGCTGTTTTCTGCATTTATTGGTGTGTCTAGTTTGGTCTGTGGTGAAATTTCAGTTCTTTGTTGACTAAATAACAGGGCAGGATTTTCATCAGTAGTCCAGTTCCCCACTTTATCCTAGCAAGAGGACCACCAAGAAACAAAATTTATGGAAAGATTCTGCCTATACACCAAATGTTTTTGACTCTATGCATTTTAAACCTGGCCTAGTTATATCTGCAACACATGTTTTCCATCACAAGCCTTACAGACTATTATCAGAGCTTTTTCAGCTGAAACAGGAACTAAACTAAACTAATGCTTTAAAGCTCAGGAAACCAAATTATCAAGGATATAAATATCATTGCAAATTGCCTGCACATGGTTTAGCCTGACATTTTATTGGTGTTTGTGTATGCTGGATTATAGGAGCATAGATAAATAAATAGATGCATCACATGCTATTTTTGTCTCCCAAAAGGAGAGTCACTTTAATGAATGTCCCTTGAAAAAGATAAATATTCTCAAGTATTAACAGATACATTAATATAATACATAAAATCACTGCTTAAAGTTGCTACTATAGCCTAATCCTATAGTTGAAACAGGACCCAACTTGGCCCTGAAAATAATGCAGTTCACAGCTTTATACTCTTTTAGTTTATACTTACAAATAAATAAATGTAGATTAACATGGCATTTATATGGGAAAGTATTGTCTATTTCTTAGAATCATTTAGGTTGGAAAAGACCTCTAAGGTCCTTGAGTCCAACCATAAACCTAACACTGCCAAGTCCACCACTAAACCCTGTCCCTAAGCACCACATCTACACGTCTTTTAAATAGCTGCAGGGATGGTGACTCAACCACTTTCCTGGGCAGCCTGTTCCAATGCTAGACAAACCCTTTAACTGAAGAAATCTCTCCTAATGTCCAATCTAAAATTTATTGGGAGTGGAGTTTACTGCTCATTAAAAGATAAGATTTCAAAACAAAGTTAATTTTTTATCATCTTTCAATTAATTTCTTGATATGGAATCATTGCGTTTATTAGAAATGTTGATTTTGGTTCCACGTTTGTCTAAATTACTTTAATGGCAGAAAATGCAAGAATATTCAGTATTCAAGAAAATAAAGAAAATAGTTAAATAGAATGATATAAAATCTAAAATATATGAGCATGAGCTAGTAGGAGACTAGGAAGACTGTTTGAAATCCTGTTTAGGCTAGTAATTGTTGCATACAGCAAAGGCGGTTCTTCCCTTTTGACAAGCATCTTTGTCTTTACGTTTTCAGACAGACAGTGCCTCTATCATTAATATGGAAATTTTGTTCAGAACACTTGCTTTTTTAAATGGCTGTACAGTGTGACATGGGTAGCCTTTTTGTTTTGTCTCTATGTATAATAGGGATTCAAATTAAATTCCTTTGTTATGTTAGGAAGCCATACTTACTAATATTTGTAAAACTTTGCAAAAAAAGATACAAAATTATTATTTTATAATCTGAACCCCTTTAGTTATTTACTGCCATGCTCAAGTCTTTAAATCAGTTAAAAACAGGCGGCATTTCTGGCAGTCCATTTACTTTGCTGTAACTGTGTCATAGTTATCTTTTATTCTTCATCCTGTTCGTATTCCACTGTTGCCTTTCAGCATTTTAAGAGCGTAGAAATTTGGGTCGTACAGAGAAACTTACCTGATTTCTTATGCCAGATTGTACTTGCAATGCTTGCAGACCTGGCGGTAGAGTATATGCTCTTCTGACGAGTGTCAAAAGAGACATATGTGAAGAATGGAGGAATCCATTCTTCTAAGAGTCACCCTGCTGTGCTAACAACAGTGAAGAGGTTTATGCAAGAGGTTTCCAGGCTGATCCTGACAGGTGCATCGTTTCTTGGTAGGAAATGATTGTTGCTCCAAGAAACTGACTATGTGAAGTCATTGTTCTCCAAAGTTACAAAATCTATGCATCCATGTTAAAAGAGTAGAGAGCATGTGTAAAGCGTTATCTTCACATTAATATACTATATTAACACACAAGGTTTTCTCAGGGCTGCTTAAAAATGGCTGATCTCTGGAATAAAGAATTAGAATAAAATTCACCTACATCACAGCTTTGTCCAGGCGCTCTCAGTTCTCTGCTGGTGATAACATCTTTATGTGTTGTCACAGCCAACAATAATAAATATTTGTCCAGATTTTTCTGCTTCATTGTAAAGCACATTTTAAGCTTAAGGCAATTATTATTTTTTACTTTTCTTTTGGCCCTTTATTAGCAGATAAATTTTGTTCAGTTTTCTGGTCTTCTTGCAGTGGCTAGCAGATATCTACCCAAACAGTACTTTTAACAGGATGTCAAGGCTTCTTATTCTGTCAGTAGCCATGGGATTCCTGCAAGAAAGTGAGTCGTGATACCCGGCGTTATAGAAAAGAAATGTGGAAATGAGCTGGAGAGAAAGCCTAGGTTCCTAGAGAGAAGTATGGGAGAGGAACACTATGCATAGCTTTATTTATGTAAGAAATCCTAGTATGGATTTAATATTCTAACTTCCATCAAAGTTTCTTACATGAGTGAAGCAGCGTTAAGGTAAGATGGGACACTAGCTGCCCATTTGTGCCTTCTATGCTGAAGCAGAGTGAGGAGTCTGTTCATGTGCAGTATGTTCCAAGGCAATGTAAACTGTCTTTTTAGCCAGTTGAACCTGAAAGCAAAACTCTTGCATTTTTCGGTAAATAAAGAAAAAAGTTAAAGCATAGTGAATATCATATTTAAATATTTTCTCAACTTAAAGCATTTGTAATATTTTTTAAAAATACAAAAGTTAAAGTGATTGTGGTACTATTCTTGCAGTCTAGTAGTTGGAGTAGATCCAGAGTTCAAATCTCTTCCTTCCTGATTAGCAGCAAAGATATAATCCAACAATATGATCTTTTTGGCATATTGGAAATACAAGGTGTTAGAGGTGCAGTTCTTTTGATCTGTTTCGTTGAAGCTTGCTCTGTTCATGTAAAATACTTACATATGCTTTGAACTAGAGAGTGGACCAGTATGAATGACTCTTTACTTTGGCTATAAGGTGCTGTCCCAAATGTTACTAGGCCTGCTTTTAGTTTATGCTTTAGTGAACATTTTAGTAGTAGTTGGTACCCTTAAGTGATGCAAATTAATCCAGCACTAATCTCCTCCTCTTCTATCACTGTTTTAGCTGCTAAGCCAGTTTCTCCAGGTGAGTTGATTTAACATTGACACTGAATCATAACAAAACAGATCTTTTCCCAGTACCCAACAGCTGTGTCAGTTATTTTTACAATTTTTAATTTGTTTTTATTTAATTTAGTATTTATCTTACACTTCTAAGTATTTCTTTCTTTTCAATTCAGTTTTGTCAGTTTTGCTGCTGCCTAACTCTGTGCCAAAATCTTAAGTTAGATCCATTATACTCAATCAAGCCACCCGCTGTTGGAAATAGCTGTGATATTTTTGCTTGTTTTGCCTCCTGAAATTTTTTTAAGACACATTTTCAATAGGTGTCTGGTTTTAGTGACAAATATTTGCCTATATTTTCTGTTATAAATACTTGTTAGTAAGAGCCAAGCACAAAAATAAACTACTGTAAAAGCATATTGCAGTTGTTATTTTTTCAGCCTTTTAGGAAGATTTGATTATATTTTGTCTAAGATATCTCCTTTTCTGTAGACTTGCATTTTATGCAGCTTGATTGTTACTCATTTGGAATTATGCTTATTGTACCACCAAAAATGTAGTTTGCTCTGAATTCCTGTCATTTGGTCAGTCTCAGTGTTTTTGGCCCCAACACAAGCCACTAAGCAGCTCCAGCACAACAGTGGAATTATGTGTTTAAAAGAAAAGCCATACTCAGATGCAATGAGTGTAAGAAATGCAAATATTTTGTATAGTTGTTGGGCTTAGATGTTTGGGATGGACAAACAGGCTGCGTTTAGACAGCAAGGTAAATATTCAAAGGTAGTTTTGTGTGTGTAAAACAGGAACTTAAGAATAATGAAGATAAAATATAAGATGTATTGCTCAGAGGGAACAAGTGCAGGGCAAATTGCTTTGTAAGGTCCAACTTTAATAAGTACACAAGACAACACTAGAAAGATACTATTTTGAGAGAACTGTCTTTAGGTTCCTGTTATTTTTGTGGAATATCTTCTTGGCTAAAATATGCTCTCCAAGTATCTAAATGAGATGTGAAAATTCTCAATAACTTCCAGCTAAATATTTTACCCTTGCTGTTGGAAATACTTGCTTCATTGAATATGGCTAATATTTCTGATGTCAGGAAAACGTTTGATATGGTTTGTTTTTCTCAAATATTTATCTCGTCTCCAACACCACTCGGTGTAAAGCCAAGAAAATGCATGGCTTAAAATTTACTAAGGCTACATCTGAATTATCAAGTGGTGCAGACCAGAGAATCTCTAGTGTAAAGCAGTTGTTGCTAATGGTCTGATATTCACAGTACATAGATCTTTAGAATGGTTTTGAGAATTCAGAATACTAGTTGATCTTATTGACTCAATGTCTGTTGCAGTGCAGTGCATTAGGTGTAGTTACTTCTGGAGCACATCTTCACTTTAGTTCAGTCCAACGGGAATCCAGTTAACTTATTCCAAGACTACTATGAAAATAAATCACCGTACCTGTGGACAACTGAAAAGTTTTACTTCATAAGCATGCTCCACATCTAAGCTGAAATAATCATACAGGTTCATCTTATGTGGCCTGACTGAATTAAAGTAGTTGAACTTTTTTAACAAGTTTATGGTATTAAAAGGTTTTAACCAACAAATCATAATTGCATTTAATCTAGATCTATTATTGCTCATGAATTGTTTTTATTTCTTCATATCAAATCATTGGTGTGGTATGGTCAACACAGTAAAAATTTTCAAAATATTTTCAAAAATTTTAAAAACCCAAACAAAAAAACTACAAAAAAAACCCAACTATATTTTTAGATATTTTATAAATTTTTATATTTTATAAATGAGTTTTGTTAAAAGTATGAAAGTACATATGTACAATCATGATTTTTACCTGTGGGGGGTAAATGTAAATAAAGTGACTTAAACAGTTGATTCAGCACCTGAGCTGCAAACTTAGAAGTTTTAAATGAGAAAAAGTCTTTAATCTTTAGACTGTTCTGCCTGTCACTGCCATATGAACCAGAATTGTGCCACATGGTGGCGGGGAGCAGGGAGAAAAATGAAAATAATATAAGCCTGCAGAACTCTGGTTGCCTCTCTGTCCTTCTACTGCTGCTAAATAATGCTAAAGAAGGAGGGAAGATTTAAAAGAAATGGTCTCAGACTATTCTTGTCATGGGAAATGTTGAATATAGATGATTAAGGGTTCTGGTTTCTGCTTAATTGTTAAAATAGAGCATCTTTTTTGCCTTTTTTCAGTTTTTTGAGTTAATTTTCAACCCTTTTTGAAGGTTTTTTTTCTTTTTCTTTTTTTTTTTAGGCTGAAATTTGCAGTCATCAGTGATCCCCTAGCATGTGGACAGGACCTTGAATGTCGAGATATTGGTTTTGCTTATGTCAGTTTGAGAGAGATATTCCAGGAGGGAAAAGATATCATTGAGCAAGATATTGATCGTAAGTTTTAGAGATGACTGATGAGTTTTGCAACCTAAAAATTATTTGTTGAATTTCTGCTTTCCTCTGCAAGCTTTACTGTGCGAGCAGTTGTTTGACATTGTTTCAATAAGAAATTCTCTAATATTAGCTAATGGCTTCCACATTTGTGCAAAAGTCTGTAAAAACTGTGCACTACTGTTATTCCTTAAAATCTGTTTTAAAAAAACCCAAATCCCTTCATTCTTGTTGAGGACTGTGAGAATATCTTGTTCCTATCTTGTTCCTTTCGTTGCTGGTTCTGTGAGAGTGGCCTACATGAAATTTGAAGCAATTAAGTGAATTGCTAAGCAAGAGTCTTGATGAAAAAGAGTATAGACAAGACATATAACTATATGTCTCAGAGATAACATGATTTAAAACGGAGAAAATAGAATTAATGTTATCTTCTGGTATCGCTAATTACAGTTATCCTACTGTTCTTGTAAGTAAAAAGAATAATGTCCCTTGAAGTCTGCTCTTTAAGTTGACAGTTCACTGCGTGATTTGTCCAAGGATATAAAAAATGGTTTGGATTTCTAATAGTGTCCAATCTGTCCTATAATAGCTCTATCAACAAAGTAAATGTTGGACGGTTTATCCTATGTTTTTCCTTCTTCAAACCTCTTCTGGGCTGTCCCAGCAGTCTAGAAGTGGTAGCATGCAGTATCACTGCATGTCCCAGAGTACTTATCCCAGTTTATATAGTAAATATAGAACCTTGCCATTTGTTTGCTGTATAATTTGCTTTGAAAAGGTGTGCTGTCAAGATAATTTGTTTTCATTCAACTTCCATCTAGAGTCATGTTACGCAGACTCATTGCTTTTTATGCAGGACTGGAAAAGAGCTTCATTTTTGACCTTTAGCATCATGTTTTTAATCTCTGCAGCAGAGATTGTGGCCCTCTGGGCTTACTTAGATATTGTAAGAGAGTGCAATTTTAAATCATGTTATCTAAATTCTGTCAAAGAGAAATTTAAAATGCTACTTTAAAACCAACATACACAAAGGTGAAGGTAGTTAAATAGTTTAATCTAGGGGGAATACCATCTTTGTCTACACTTCACTATTTTACAACACACAGAAGCCTGGAATTAAAATAACTTTGCATTGCACCAACTGGAAGTGACAACTTACTATTTAAATACTAATAACTGTCCAGGCTGATTATATAGTATAGTATAGTATAGAAAATTCATTAATCAGTGTATTTTTTTACTTAGAAGTATTTATACATATGCATATATGTCTTTAATAGAGTTTGGAACATTTATATTTACATATTGTTAAAAAGAATTCATTTATACAGGCAATTATCATGCAGATAGTTTTCTTTATTTCAGAGTTAATTCCAACCCTACTACTTTTATTGATGTACATCATAGTTCGTAGAGTGCTCAGTTTCCAATAGACTGAGTGCCTGAACTAGAAGCTCTCTTTTTTATTTTTTTTTCTCTTTTTTAAGCGTATGCTAGGTGCCTTTTAATCTGTCCAAATGCTAAGGAAAATTATCAGAACAAAACCAAAACTTTAAATGAAATTGCTAATGCTGTTTTCTGATGTTTCCTTTCTAGTTTTCGATTCACAAGATGCTACAGCAGTAATTGGAAAGCTCAAAGTATCAGTGGAAGCCCTCCGTGTGCTGCGTTCAGTCCATGAGGAATGCACGTATGACTAGGAGGCATGAAAAGGAAGTTTGCCTACAGAAGTTCCTTCTCCCAGTATTAATACGTTCTTGATAGTGCTTCAAAGATGAGGTCTTTTAATTCTTCCAGTATGTTTAATGTATAATTTATATGAAAAGGAGGCTTGATTTGTAGTTGTAAAGTTTTGTGTACTTTTCAGTCTGTTTGTTTTTACATTTCCCCCCTAAGGCTAAGAATCTCTCCACAATGGACAACATCTTGTGAATAATTAATACCTACATGATTGAGAGATGTGCTTTATTTGCATTTTCAAGACTTTTTGCTGCATAAAACAGTAATAAAAATGCAAGTCAAATTTTTAATTTTTAATAAAAAACCATAAGCCTTAGAAAACTGATTAAAAATACTTTTATGTTATCCCTAATCACCCCACTAAATGGAATGCCTGTGTTTAGCCTCATTAAGAATTTTATACTGTGAAGATTTTATTAAAAGCAATATATGAAAATTACTTGGATTAATGTGTTAATCTGCCTCTTTAAAATGCTAATATCCATTTTATGCACATTAAATCTCAGTATGTGTTTTCTTTGATGCATGCAGTTCCCATCAATTAAAAATAAAAAAGCGAGGCTAGTTGCAGGACTTATTAAATTACTGCAACCTTTTTTTTTTAAATAACTTTTACCCTTCTACTAACATTATAATCGGCTGTTTATGATTATCATGATTGGAAGAAGGGGGAGGGCAGGCACAATCGTTTTCCTGTACAGTAAAAGATTTACTTTCAGACAACATCTGTCAAAGCACAAAAAGAAGGCATACAGTATCAGATTGCTTCACCTAGTTTGAGCTGTAGGGACAGGCAACTGTGTTTTCATTTGGTTTTTTGTCATTTTGAGAACTTTACATCAAACATATACAATGAATTGTTGTCTCTGAATAGCCAGTGTCTAGCTTGGAAAGATAATTTTCCAGCTTTTAACCAATCTCAGTGAAGGATTTAATTTATATTTTTAATGGAGCTGTGAATCAATGCTGCAAAAGGATTGTCTCTTGAGAACAAGGATATAATACATTTCATTTTTTAATTTACTTTTTTATTTGTCATTTTCTTCAAAGCATTTTATAGGCTGTGGATTTGCACTGTTTGCAAACAGGCTATGTTTCTTCATAAGCATATGTAAAGTATTCAGAGAGATAAGTAATTTATTAAAATCTACCTAATTTGCCGTGATATATTAAATCTCTGCTTCAGTGATCACAGACCATTTCATTTAGAGAATTAGGCATTCCCTCTTTGTGTGATTAAAGCTCTGGAAAATGAGTTCTTTGCTCCTATTTGTGAACATTCAAAGCCTGCTAATGGCAAGAAGATGGAATAGATTATGAGACAATTCATTACAGTTCAACAGAAAAAAAAACCAGCTATAATGCAGAAATGCAAGTATGAATATCTGCATATAGTTTGAACCATCTGTGCTCTAATGGCTTCAATAATGGCTCTTCGTCTTCAGTAGGCTTTGAAATGACATCCATACAATATTAATTTATTGATGTACATTATGAGGCCAATGGAATGAATATATTCTGACCACAGAAATCTCTGAATTCCAGTATGAACCGATGGTTGACTCCATTTTAGGACCTACCCTCTTCAGTTGCACTTCTCATCCAGCCTTTGCCAATCCTTACAGCATTTCATTCCTCTGGAACTTTTAGGAGACCACAGACAGCTGCATTCCTAAACCCCTCCATTCTTCAGTTAATGGCCATATGTTTGTTGTCATTTGGGCTGGCGCTTAGTTCATCATTTTGGCCTCTATTTCTAGCTTTTTTTGGCTCTGTGCATCTATATTGTCAATAAGACTGTTATTATACATTACAATAATTTGAAACAGCTAGGTGCAACACTGAGATTAACCGAGTGGCTTTTTAGAAATTTAGTTGCGGTATTCTGTCAGGAGGTTCTTATTATTTTTCTAATACTTTGCAAACCAACCTAAATATCCTGCACAAAAACAAAGAAGCAAATTGTATTGAGTTTTTGTGTGTGACTGTTTACTGACTTGCAGGATAACTATGTAACTGGTGCTTGTTTTCTTCTGAAAAAAAACATGTGGCAAAATTAGAAAAATCAGCAATGTTAATCTCCCTTCAACATTTACAGTAACACTCCTAGCACTTAATCGTCACCATCTGAAGTTGAAAACTTAGAAACCAAGCCTTCATATATTCATTAAACACAGACCTTTTCGGTAAGTTACTGCAAACCATTTCAGTTGACATTTGGTTACATTGTGTTAACTGTTCTCAGTGACTCCAACATTAACATGTATAATGTGCCTCAGGTTCCTAAACATATTTCTTTGGAAGGCTCACTATCACTCAGTTTTGGATTAAAAAAAGAATCTTGATTTCTCTTTGTGTTTATTACTAAGACAGATACAATATTCAGTGAGGATTTTTTCCAACAGATGGATTGTATTATCTTATGCAACATAAACAGATGAACGTACTAGAAAGTTTTGTTCTTGCACTAAGTAGCCTGTATTTCCAACATGCTCTTAAATCTTAAGTCTAAATACTGCACTGTGCAGGGAAAGTGGAAAATGTAATCTAGTACTACTTTGTCCAGATTTTCACTCTGAATTGCTTGAAGAAAACTTACATACATGTGCTCTCTAGCCTAAGACAAAAAGTATCCTTTTTTGTGTGTGCAATATGTTAGTAAGCACTTTCCTTTTTGCCTTATTAATGCTGGGTACTACTAACCTTTTACATGTTACTTAATTAAAATTAATTTTGGTCAGTTTTGTAATTTTATATCTTTCCCCACTAATGTTTGCAGCTTATAGCTTTGTTGTGATATCTTCTTATGTGATATAATAGCTGCTATTCTCCAGGTGTCACAAGATGGAAATTTAATTTGAGCTCAAAATACCTTTTTTTTAAAATGTTGCTTTTAACCTGTTATAACCTTAACCTAGGAATGGAAGTTATAGGAGCAAATACATCCTGAACCAAGGTAATATCTGTGTGAACTTGATCAATTTTGCTGTACTTTGAGTAAGTCTAAGGTTATTTCATTATACGTTTATAAGAGTAGATGTAACATGACAAAAAATTAGAATAACTTGCCTCACAGAATTTCTACAACCTTAGATCAGTATTTATGTTAATAATAATATTGGTTTAAAATGCTTTTTGTTATTTCAAGGCATAGTAAGACATTATCATAACTCAAGAAGGCACCAAAGATATCAAGACTAAAATATTAGCTGTTAAATTTCATTTTCTTGTTTTGTATTAGAACTGAGAAATAAATTCAAATACAGACCTAAAATAGTGCAAGAAACTTTACTGCATGTTTCAGAGCCAGAGAAATATTTTATACTGCAGACAGACAGGTCTTTTTGCAAGTCATGATAATGATTTATCCATCAGCTTTTCCAGATATTTCACAAGTGAATAAATACTTTTTTATAAACTTCCTTAACATTACTGTTTGTGATACTGGCCTTAGTAATTGGATTAGTTCCCAGTCCTGCAACTAATACTGAATTGATAGCATTATTTTGCCTATATGAAATTAATTGCAGAATACAAGTTCAAGTTGATACTTCTGTATGCATGTGATAAAAACTTGCTTTTGGCAGAGTATGCTACAGGTGTACTGTTCTGTGCTTTCGTTAGTTCCTTTTCAATATTGCTGTCAAATATTAATGCTGTTTGCAACTTTTAAAATGGGATGAGGTAACTTTTGAAGAATTTGATTTCATCTGAATAATTTCTCAAGGGAAGAATTTGACCTATGGGGGTTTTTTTATTATAGTATCATCTTAGCACTCACAGGACATGATCTTGAAAGTCACATATAACATAGAGACTTTGATCTTAATTCGTAAGCACCAGACTCCTTTTAAATCATGCAACTGTGGGCTTTAGAGGTATTTGAAAGCTTTTCTTTTTTATAAGGTCGTTGCTGAATCAGTCTTCAAGCTCTCAGCACTTTATGGGATCAAGGTCTAACTTAGTCCTGGCAAAGTTTCATTTCAAGTGAAAGCTGTAAATTATCAGGTACAAGTTGAAGATATTTTGTCTAAGAAAATAAGCAACTATGAACCTTCAAATAGAAATGCTTATAGGGTATTAATAGTAGTAGTTCTACCATGATACTGTATCAGGATGGGATCATTGAGGTTAGAAGGGACCTCAGGTGGTCTCTAGTCCAACCTGCTGCAGGATTAGACCATGTTGCTCGGGGCTGTATCCAGTCTGCTCTTGAAAACCTCCAAGAGTGAAGACTCTGTAACTTCTCTGAGCAACCTGTTTCAATGCTTGACTGTCCTCCTGGTGAAAAAAGGAGATACCATTTCTAAACATTACTTCAATCCAAATTGAAGCCAAATCTAGATCGAAGCATGTGAAAAGAGCTTTTGTACTTACTATACCTTCTGATACCTTTTTTTTTTTTTTTTTAGTTCTATGGATAGCATAAGGATGACCTTGTTTGTGGCTTGTTTCAGACATCTAATGTTTTGCACAGAAATACAAATAAGTAGGCATTTTAGTGTTGACTTTCATGCCTACTGCCTTGCAGTATGCCATCAAATTTCCATCCAGTTTTGTGAAGCAATTGTCAAAAAAATAGCTATGTTATTGTTAACAATGTGGTTTGGTCAGATAATTCTTCTGTAGATTTCAGTAGTTTTCCAATCTACTGTAGTTTATTCCAGGTTTTTTTATATTAGGCTTAGATTATTTTAAGAGTAAGAAAACAGATACATCAAACAAGACAAGGTTCACATTGAAATTATACCCTTCATGACCTTCATTCATGAATTCTTAACACATTTTAGATTTCCAAATAAACTGTGTTCCCTGAGCTGTAAGAAGCAGGGATATAAACCTGGAACCTCTGTCCACACCCATTCTCTGTATCAAAATATATCTTAATTCAGTAGTCCACCATCAGTAGCTGCAACAGAGCAAGACACGTCTTGCACGTGATCTAGCAAT